GTACATAAAGATTTAGTATAATTCTGTTAATGTTTAATTTAGTTGCATAAAGAATTTTCTCTTGTATTTAATTATGCAATATTTCATTTAATTCTTTTTATAATCAAATTCACTATCAAATATTTTTAAAGATTTTAACCTTTATTTTTTATTTTTGTTTATGTGGTGCTAAGGAATAAAAGCAGTGCCTCACTCGTGCTAGGCAACTGCTACCACTGAGCTACAACCACAACCTTCACTATCAAATTTTGATTTTGAGAATTTGTGGGTCTTAATATTTGAAAAAATATAATATTTAGATAGGTACATTTGGCATTATATAATCATCTAAATAAATTTATTTCAATTATACCTCATCAAAAAATTTCAACTCTATTGTATTGAATTCTTTTGGGGGGGGGTAATAAAAAAATACAAATCAATATAATGTATTAATTGTAATTAAAAGAATATGTATTAATAAATCATTTGCTTAACCACCATCATCAGTGGTATATATTAAATATAATTTATTGCACTCTAAGATATTTAAACATGTCTTTAAAATACATTTAAACTTTTGCAAATCAAAATCAACCAAGACTGACTCAGAAAAAATTACTTTAGTATACTTACTACAATGAATGTAATTCTGGTTTTTAAAAATACACAAAAATAAAGTTTCTTAATCTGCACAGCCCTAAATGCTAAGGAATTGTGTCACTTGAAACCAAGTTTAGACAATTCTGGAGAAAAATACAATTACCAGATTATTCTAAAAGAAGGCACATGGAAAATATTCATATTTTAAACATTTTCACAAAAAGATGGAAAAGGGAAGATCAACTCTTTCAAAAGTGAAATACCAAGTTGTTTCATTACACAAAATGAAAAATTTTAATATTTCAAGAAACCTGGCATTTATTAGAAATGAGAAAATTAAGCTTTTCTTATAAAATTAGGCTTTTTCTTATTATAAATCATATCTAGTTTAGAAAATCATAAGTTATAATAATAACAACATATCCATTTAAGCTCATATGGATAAAAGACAGAAAGCTGGCAAAAATAACCTAACCACTACCTAGATTAATACATTGAATGAAATAAACTTTCAATTTATTTTTCAAATTTAAAATACTTCTACAGAATCAAATCTAAAATCAAAATAAATTCACTCTTCTCTATATTTTCCCAGTACTATATGTTATAGATAAAATTCCATACGTAGGATGTCTGGAAGCTTCCATGTATACACCGCTGGTACTAGCAGAATTTCTTCCTCCCATTAGTGATACTGTCCTCAAAAAAAACTGCTAATGGAAGTTGGTAAGTAGTCCCCAAACTCAAAATATCTCAATATCAAAAAAAAAAAAAAAAGGTTAACTCATAATTTCCCTAAGATACTTTAAAAGATAATAAACAACCTCCAAAAAAATGTTCTGTGGTGAAACAAGCAATTTTCTTTATTCAGAAATTCTTATAAACTACACTATAGTAATCATGGTTTGTAGGGAGGAAGTGGTTAGAAAATGGAGAATTACATACATTTAAACTTTTGCAAATCAAAATCAAACAAGATTGACTCAGAAAAAATTACTTCAGTATACTTACTACAATGAATGTAATTCTGGCATTTAAAAATACATAAAAATAAAGTTTCTTAATCTGCACAGCCCTAAATGCTAAGGAATTGTGTCACTTGAAACAACCAAGTTTTGTATAATTCTGGAGAAAAATACAATTACCAGATTATGCCATTTGATGGGCAATAAAGGAATTTTCAAAGGCAATATAATTACATATCATTTTGTATATACATGATTTTTTTTTTTACCTTGCACAATGACTTTAGAACCAAACTACCAAAAGAGGTATGTTGTACTTTTTGAACAGAAAAATATTCTAGAACCATCTCAGAGAATTGACATTCCACAAAACACATTTTGGAAAATTGATTTTGTTGTATAAAGTCAATACTTTAACACTCATCAATTTCAAGTGATAGCATGCTGAATATGTGATTAAATTTCATATAAATAATTTGCATTGTAATTTCAAAAAGTAAAACTGTCTAAAGAAGTATTTACTAGAATTATAAAAATACTACCTCAAATTAGAGGACTCGTGACACTCAAAGGAAAGTCATAGCACAGATGAAAGAGAGAAGATAAAATGGTCAAATGAATATGATTTATACCCAAGACATTTCTATAATAAAAAGCTTAACTCTAATACGATATAAAAAGTTTTTTAATTCAACTAATGAAATTAAGTAATCAATAAGCTAAAATAGTACCCACAAGAGTTTATTTTTTGTTTCTATAGCCACAACCTAAATTTCCAATTAAATTTTCTCTCACTACAATGCCTACTACTAAATGCTACTATACTCTCTTCCTAAATTACAGCTCTATTATATTGTCCCCCTAATCTAACATTTGCAGTGGCTTCCCATTGTATATTCAGTTAAGTCTGACTCCTTAAAAATAGCATTTTATTTAATCCATTATCTGGCACCAACCAACATCCAAATTGATATCCCTTTGCTTACTTCAACCCATTCTGCTTTTCCACAAAACTTTTTTTTTTTTTGAGAATCTAACATGATTTAGGCACCAAGTTAGGTTGTAAAATACTCTTATTTCAAGCCAGGTGCAGTGAGGCACCTCAACTCAAGAAGCTGAGACAGGAGGATTTCGAGTTCCAGGCTAGCCTTAGGCTATTTAGTGAGATCCTATCTCAAAAAAAAGGGGGGGGGGAGTTAGAGATGTAGCTCAGATATTTAAACATGTCTTTAAAATACATTTAAACTTTTGCAAATCAAAATCAAACAAGACTGACTCAGAAAAAATTACTGGATTTAACCCCCAATGCTGTTTTTAAAAATACATAAAACTATCTCATTGACTCAAATTTTAACCAGCATTATAATCCATAAGAGGGCCTATTACAAAAGACTGCAGGACGCCATCCTCAAAAGTTTCTGATTCAAATGGAATTTCTAACAAGTTCTCAAGTGATGCTGATGTTACAAAGCACTACACTTGGAGAATGATAGCTCTACTCCAAAAAGTCACAAACTGGAAGCCCCATGGCTGAATGAAGCCCACTCACATGTCTACATGGTATCTGAAAAACATTTTGAATTATTTGTGAATATTTTAAAATTGAAAAATATTATGTATATTGCAGGTTTCTGGTTTACTCCTGCAAGTAAAATTCTACTCAAGTTAAATAGAAGCTCCAGAGAGGTGTCCTAGTCTAGGTTACCAGAGTCTGAATTGGGTCTCTGTAATTTCACTTTAAAGCACCTGGCTTAGCATTGCATTTGTGCTTGCACACCCTGATCATTTTTTTTCCCACTCTCCATTCCTTTTTTCGAGAGCTCACTCTGACTTCAAACACCCTTTCTCCCTGTATTGCTGAAATTCTAGTTGCCCATTCTCAAGCTTGATTTAAAATTCTTTCTCAACAAAATCCCAGCCAAATAGATATTCTTAAGTAAAACACATATTAAAAATTTAACAAAAGTTTAATGTGTTCTTTAAAAATCAAGGTTTTATTTCCACAAATACTAAAATAGCAATGTTTACCTGAAACAAGGCTATCTCATTAAATTATAAACATAAGATATTTTGCTATTTTCAAAGTAAAATTTTCATTTTTCACTGATTTTTACTTTTAAAGAAACCTATTTCAGGAAAATGAAATAGGATATAACTTTCAATCACACAGTCAAAATACAACTTCAGTATGATATCAGATCTCAAATTATAGAACATAAAAGAGAAAGGGTATGATTCCCTTGGTTTTAACCTAACAATTATTAACCGTAATCTTTTGTTGCTGCTGTTGTTTGTGGTCCTGCAGATTGAACCTAGGGCCTCATGCATGCTAGTCAAGCACTCTACCACTAAACTACATTCCAAGTCTTAAAAGTAGCTTTAATTAAATAAATTCTTCAAAATTTTAAATCTAGAAATCTGGAGGATATTTTAACAGATTTTTACTTGTATAGAATAAATTGGGAGGAGGGGAGGAGAAAAGAAAAATGAATACTGGTCCTTGCTCTGCTGAAGCTTTGTTACCGCAGTAAGTCACTGAGTTCTCCTTGGACCTGGGACCTATTTCATTACCTCTAAATTGAAGAGGAGGGAAAAAGTGTTTTCCAAATGTCTTCCATCTCTAAAATCTAAGACTTACTCCTTCAAAAGATGAAAACATAAAAAATAGTGTCATAATGAAATTATGGCATTTGCCAGTAAATGGATGGAAATGGAGAATATCATGCTATGTGAAATTAGCCAAACTCAGAAATTCAACAAACATTTTCTTTCATATGCAGAAGCTAGAATAAAACAAAGGAAAGTGGGAGGGGAAGATAGGATAATATAAAGAGCCAATCAAATATGAATTAATACATGAGCAAAAGGAAATCTAGTAGAGGAACAAGAATGGGAGAGGGGAAGAAGATGGGAAAGAAAGGGGGAGAATCATGAACTGAAAACAATTTCCATGCATGTAAGAGTGTGTCAGGATTAATCCAACTACTGTGTATAACTATAAATAAACCTCTAGTTTAAAAACAAAAAACTACAGTGTCATACAGATAAGGTTTTTTTGTGGTGGTGGTGGTGGTGGTGATGGTGGTACTGGGATCAAACCCAGGGCTTTGCACATCTCAAAGTAAGTGCTCTACCACCAAGCTGCATCTGCAGCCACAGAGAAAAGCTTCTTGTTATTGAGTCAGTATAGTTTCTAAATTGGACTGACTTTAAAACCTTTAACTATAAGTTTCAAACTTCTAACCCAAAGTGCTGAAGACAGAACTTTGAGAGAATATGTTTATATATACATATTTGTATATATTTTAATGATTAAAATAAAAGGCCATCTATAAGGGCAATAATTAAAAATAAATTGGAGGGAAAATATTACCAATCAACACATCAGTAAGTTTGATATCCAAAAAGAAAGTCAAATAATTAGGAAACCATGCCCCCCCCCCCCGCAAAAAAAGAAAATCATGTCAAAAGTTTTTCCATAATAGAGATTAACAGCATTTTCCATACATCTATTTGCTTCAGAATATTCCCAAAGTAATTTTGGATGAAATTTAAATTATCAAATTGAAAAACTTAAAAAAAAAAAAAACCCTCAAAGACTATTATAATCAGGTAGATCATGCCGTAAGCGAATTGCTTTCAGCTTCTCCACTTCAATTTTTGCTCTCAGTAGCTCTTCCTCTAGCTGCTGCCTTCTTTTCAATCCATCCCTCTTCTCCTGAACATATAATCCAAAATTTCTTTGATTTTCTAAAATTATCTGATGCTCTGCTTTCAACATTTGCAGGATCTGAGGATCGTACCCTAATAGAGACCTAAAATGTTCTCCACTTTCATGCCGAAAAAAATCATCTCTCCTTGGAGTAGAAGTTGGAGATGATGTCATTCTCATATCAACAGAGGAAAGTGATGGTGACAAAGATCTTTCCATAACATGTACTAATTCATGTTCTTCTCTTTGCTCTAAAACATCGCTGTGTTGAGGATTTAAAACCAGTGGAGGAGGTGGTTTAATGTCTTCTTCTTGCTTCACCTCCACTGTAATAGCAACAGGATGGTGATCCAACATTACCTGTAGTGAACTGGTACCAGCTTGTGCAGGTTCATCCAAGTTCGCACTACAGCACACAAAAAAAGCATTATAAAATATAAACCAAATGAAGATATGAGCATATTTATAGCATGCTTCATATTTAATATATACCTAATTATTAAGCCTAAAAAGCCAGGTATGGTGATGCATGCTGAAATTCCAGTAACTGCGGAAGCTGAGGCAAGAAGATTGATTCAAGTGCAAGGTCAGCCTCAGCAACTTAGTGAGACCCTATCTCAAAATAAATAATAAGGGCTGGGGATGTAGCTTGGTGGCAGAGCATCCTGGGTTCAATCACTATTACAAAAAAAGGGAAAGAAAAAGAGAGAATGGGGGGGGGATGAATATGAGAATTGTGAAACAAGAGGAGTTTAACCCTGGGCATAACAAAGAGACTTAAGATTAGGATTTCAATAACACATACATATAGGTATCCTCCCCATCCTTATCCCTTTTTTTGTGTCTTGTTTTATGGTACTGGGGATTAAACCCCTGGCTTCTGGCATGTTAAGCAAGTGCTCTACCACTGAGCCAAATTCCTGGCCCTCCCTTATTAACTTCAAAATTGGGCTTTTAAAAAAGAAGTACAAATCTTATATAGGCTAAATGAAGTAGATAAAAAAGAAAAGCCATTTTTAATGCTCTCAAAGAGATACCAATTGTCCCTATAACCTCAAGGTTTTTAAATAGTGTTAAGGGTCATTTAATATATTCTGTGCCTCCCTCTTCCCATACCTTATTTAGATCTCCCGCTCTGTTGTCTTTGGATTGTTATAAAAATAATCAAGGTTCATGACTTCTAGGAAGATAGTGGAAGCCCATTTATGTGAGGTACTGATTTCTGCATTGACCCAAAAAAACTAAAACTAAGGTCTCTAAGGCTTTGGAGCAACCCCTTTACCTATACTGAACCACATAACTCAGCTACTCTTTAAGTCTTTCAATCATGGGAAGGTAAAGTTAACAAGAGCAAGGGGTTTTATCCATCACAGCATACCCAGTATCTAGCATAATATAGCACTACTTAGAATATAGTAGATGTGTTGAATGAATAAATGAACAAATAAAATGATTTTTATATGAAATATTCTTAAATGGCCTATATAGGCACATTGAAGGTTTGCTGAATTTACAACAATTCCCATAACATATACATTCCTAGTAGAGGTAATTAAGAGTTTTTAGCATAATTTACACTCTGGCATATTATTTTTTGACATTATGAACACAATGCACTTTAAAATCCTATTTTTTAAAAAAAATAATTTCAAGTATAACATGAAGCTATTAAGAATATATATGGGGGGCTAGGGCTATAGCTCAGTGGCAAGAGTGCTTGCCTAGAATGTGTGAGGCACTAGCTTCAAACCTTAGCACCACATATAAATAAGCAAATAAAATAAAGACATTCTGTCCATCTATAACTACAAAAAATTTTTTTAAAGAATATATTTGTGGACTGGGGATGTGGCTCAAGTGGTAGCGCGCTTGCCTGGCGTGCGTGCGGCCCGGGTTCGATCCTCAGCACCACATACAAACAAAGATGTTGTGTCCGCCGAAAACTAAAAAAATAAATATTAAAATCTCTCTCTCTCTCTCTCTCTCTCTCTCTGTCTCTTTAAAAAAAAAAAGAATATATTTGTGTGTGTATATGTATATTCTTGAGCTTTTTTTTTTTTTTTTTTAATTATGCTTCTGCCTAACTTAAAAGGGAAAATAAAAAGGGGAAAGAGATTATTGGAACATTAATGGAAGTATGTTAACATTATTTAAAGAACATTTTATAAATGATAAATAACATCATTAGGAATATATCCTAGATGATGATTAAAATGTTGGAATACGTTCACATAGAAAATAAGGAAAAAAATTTTAAACTCCCATAAGTTACTTATTAATGGCATTAAGTTGCCAGAAATGTCAGATATTTGTCTAAGAAGATACAAATTTAAACAATTCAACAAAATATATATTATAAAAATTTTTTAAAATTCAAATAAATACTGTTCCAGTTTAGTATGTATAACAGTATAAACATAAATATTACATTTCTCCCACTATATTAAAAATATACTTATATCTGGAATATTCCATTCCATTTTAGTTGAAACATTACAAGCATAACTTTAAAAAAAAAAGAAAAAGAAAGAAAGAAAGCTTTAAGAAAAGTAGCAAAAACAATAAAAGGACTTAAAGGATCAAGAGGTTGTAGAAACAAAGCATAATCTGACATTAGAGAGAGGTAAAAATAAAGACATAATTCAAAGTAAGTTGTAGAAACAGATTTACTAAGCAGCTGTATATTTTTAAATACATTAAATAATATAAACATTAATATTTCCTTGTAAAAAAAGGGAGAGTTTGGTGAGATTAACAGTAATATTTATGTAGAAACATAATTAAGATTACAGAATAATTATATATTTCTGATATAAAGATTCAATATGACATCAAATAAGTATATTAAATATATATTAAGTGAGTAAGCTAATATAGAGAAAATGTCAATATAGACACTAACAGGTAAAAATTTAAGTGGTATATTTCTTATATTCTTCCCTTTAAAATTTAAAAACATTACTATTATTTAAAAAGTATAGAAATGCATAAGTCAATTCATTTTAAATGTTTATATGTACATTTATATGATGTATGTATACACACATAAGTGGACAAACTATAAAGATACTTGTATATTTATATATTATTTCTCTTCTATATTCACTGTATTTTTAAAATATGCAACTAACGAAAACCGTAGTGTTTTTATGTGTAGTTTTTTAATTATAGAAAATTTAATACAAAAAAAGGTAGTTTTCCACCTGTAAAGCAAAAGCCTTTTTTTCTCTGGGGTTGATGGAGGTGGAAATTATGAGTATATAGCACAGCATACAACAAATTTACTGTAGACTTTATTGGATTATCCAGCATATTAGGAGGACCTTATCATTTGTCATCAGAGGGAACATTTTAACCAGTGGCCCCAACAAATTAATCCACTGTGCATCCATGTCCTGAATTCCCACTGGTGATTTTTTAAAATAGTTCTATCAAGTAGAAATAAGCAGTATGTAGTAAGAAACTAGGCTCAAAAATATTTTCTTGGTAAATTACAAAAATCACAGAATCTCTTGGTTAAAAAGTTTTTTCTTCTGTTCTTCTAACTTCAAAGAGATTTCACAGGTAATCAATAATTTTGCTTACATAATGCCTTTCCTACTAGTAAGAAAGCACATTGTGTAAAGCTTTGTTTGAAAGACCCTGCAACTAACAAGGAGTTTACAGTTTGCTTTAATTATCCTAAAAGGTTCAGAAGAATGTAACTGCCATTTTTATCGTTTGCCAAGGGTTAAAATTTTAATTAGTGGCAAGATAATATAGTTTTGAATATTTCCAGGCAAAACATTACTTAGAGCACAATTATCTCAAAAATTGTTTCTAACCCTAAAAGAACTCAGTTGCTATTATGGGTATAATAAAATTCATAGTTTGATATCCTTTCAAGGCAGTGTAAGAAAGCTTACCCTTTCCTGTATGATCCAAGATCAAAGTGAAACTACACCATGAATGAATAAAAACAACAAAAACTTAATTTCATTAAGTAATCTGAATCTCTAATTAGGTATTAATTCCCTTTAGTTGTGTTCATCTTATTTTAAGTGTTAGAAAAATAATTTATCCTGTCTTCAAATATATAATCATATCATTAATAAGTTTACTTAAATGTTGATTTTAGTTCTGTTCAGTGCATTCAATAAGTGGTAGACAGTGACAAATCATAAAAAAGCAAAGATTACATTTCTCCTGAAACTACTTCATATAAATTTTACATAAAATTGAAAAATCCAGTGAAATGTAATCTTAATAGAAGAAAAAGGTAGCTCTTAAAGGAAAATTAAATAATTTAAACCTGAAGCTTAAAAAGTTTATAAAGTGATGTCACAAATTTCATCCCATTTATTTCTCCCTAACCTTCACTTTTAGAAACTGTAAGAGGGAAGGGGGGAGGGGAAGACAGTAAAAAGTGGCTTAAATCTAATGCAGCAGAAAAATTCCTTATAGTCTCACTTTTCTTTTTTTTAAGAAAGCAAAACAAAGACACTATTCATTGCTCCCCTTGTGGGGATGCTTACTATGCATATCTCTATCACAACTAAGCCAAAGCCCAATAGATAGGAGGCGCCATAATTTTCCACAACAAAATAAAATAAAGCTTACCTTTGTATGTGGTTCCTGTCTCTTACCAGGCAAAAACTGGAAATCTGGGGAATCATCTCCATAACTTTCTTGGTTGGCTCAGAAATATTGCTTTTAAAATCTGATTGGGCCTCTTTTTGCTGCAATAGCTCCTGTTTGGCATATTCTTTGAGCCTTTTGTAAAGGGTGCGTAGGCCCTGCGCTGTTCGAGGAGGGCGATCTACTCCAATTGCATTATAGTTAACTGCTATGATATCCCAACATCTATTCTTTTCCACTATGACTGAATGTTTATTAGTGTGTTCTTCGAGAATTTTCACATATGGCTTCACAAGCTTTAGCAAATCAAGCTTTTCAGATAAAGTAAAATTGGAAGATCTAGCCTTTCCTACCATTGTTCTTTTCAAATTAAGTAGGCAGTTTCTGAAACCACCATGCAGCCTTCAGCTCTGCTCAGCTCTTTTCACAAACAGAAAAAGATCAGGCTTAACTAGGCTAGCCTCATTTAGGCCCACGCCTACAGGGGAGGGTTTATTAAAATTCCTCCAGCTTAAGCTGACGCAGGTTCAGGAAATCTGCTTAAGCCAAGCCTGACCTACATAAAGCTTCTCACTGAAGAAGACAGGAAGGCACAAGCAAAACACACTTGTGTATAAAGAGAACAGCTCCAGATAGAATTTAATGCACAAAGGTCTAAAGATAAGTATGAACACAGCTAAAAATTAACTAATTTAGTGAGAATATCAAATTTTCACACATGTTTGCCTGTCAGACTGAAACTGCACTGCAGTATCACTTTAATAAGAACAAAAAAGAAACGGTTTTGTTCTATTTGTTTACAAATCCAGTAGACCGAAAACTAAAAGATATGAGTGGTGAATGTAGTGATTCCTAACAGAGCTCTAATCACTGTTTCTGAGCTGGGTGTTCTCCCTTACAAAATCTGCATAATGCTGGTCCTGCTGTCAATCAGGAATTGCATATCCTCTAGCTAGTTAGGTTACACCCAGCTCAGACTCCACAGTAAAGCTAAGCTTCTCCTTCATTTTACAGTCTACATTGGCTCCTGAATATTTTTTTTGTTATTTAAGAATAAATTTTTGTTGAACACTAAATATAAAAACCAGGTAACAATTACATTTTTAAAGCAATGGATTGTTCTAGCTATAACGCATGTGAATATACTAGCCTGCTTTATTATGTGTAAAAATAACTATTCATGGTGAGAAACAGCATAATCACACCATAGGAATGCACACAACAAAATCACATTTGCTGTTATAATAGAGAATTTTTATTTAGCTATAATCACAAAACATAGACTATAAAAGGAAACACCTAATCTAGCCATTTGCAAGACCATGAGTTTCCATGCTTAATCCTAGTCTGAAAACATGATAAATAATAATGTAAACAAAACAAACCTATTTTCTCATGATATACATGTTTCTCCTGATAAGGGAATTAATTATAATCTACTTGAACAAGGTTCAATTCAGCCAATTACCAAACACTTATAAAAATGCTCCCAACCACTGTGCAAAGCCCAAAGAAAACAAAGTGAATCTATAAACAACTCCCGCACAGGGAACTGTAGTTTTACAGAAACGTTATAAATTCTCAATTATCTTGCTTTCATTCTTTTTAGAGAAGAGAAGCAAATTAAAATTATCATCACTTTGAACTGGAAAATGAGCTAGAAGTTTTCAATGTGTTATCGGTCAGGAAAAGAAAAATTAAAGATTGCTAGGTGCTCTATAAAATGCTACCTGTTTTCTGACAGGTTTTTGCCTTACAGGTAATCTGATTCTGTAACAGTACTAGTTTTTCCTTGCCCTTTTGTAGTTTTATAGCTTAGTAAATATAGGTTGAGTATCCCTATATTTGAAATGCTTCAAATCAGAAGCTATTAGGGTTTCGGATTTGGGGATATTTGCATATATATGATATCTTGAGGATAGAACTCAAGTCTAAACACAAAATTCATTTGTTTCATATATATCTTACACATATAGCCTTAAGGTAATTTTATACAATATTTTCAGTGCACCTACATTTTTTTAACAAAAGAGCAGCTATGCAATTTTCCACTAGAAGGAGTCATGCCAACACTCAAAAAATTTCAGATTTTGAAGCATTTCAAAGGATGTTCAATCCATCTTAATGCAAATAATACATATTAAAAACTGATCCACTGGGCACAGTGGTATACCCCTGTAATCCCAGCGGCCTGGGAGGCTGAGGCAGGAGAAGCACAAGTTCAAAGCCAGACTCAGCAACTGAATGAGGTCCTAAGCAACTCAATGAGACCCTCTCTCAAAATAAAATATAAAAAAGGGCTGGGGAAGTGGCTCAGTGGTTAAACACCCCTGCATTCAATCCCGGCTATCAAAAAAAAAAAAAATTGACCCACTCCAACAACCACAAGGCTGCCCTATATTCAAAGTCATTCTAGCTTTTTCTAAGACTTCAAAACAATAAAGGAGAACTAAAGAAATAAAAAAATACAGGATATAACTTTATTTAGATAATATTTTCTTATTTTTGGAAGAAATACAGGTATGGTGTTAAGAAATGAAATGCTGTTAAAAATATTTTAAAAGAGCTCAATCTCACTAATTATCAGGAAATGTATACTAAAATGATTTTTCAACCACAGATAGGCAAAAAAAATTTAAACTAAAAATGTCAAGATAAGATGAGGGTATCTGGGTATGATGGCACAAGCCTGTATCCCAGCACTCAGTAGGACGAGACAAATCACAAGTTCAAAGTTAGACTGGGCAAGTTAGCAAGTACCCATCTCAAAATAAAAATATACACTTAGCGAGCCCCTAGGTAACTTGGGAAGACCCTGTCTCAACATAAAATATAAAGAGGGCTTGGCGATGCAGCTTATTACACTCCCTGGGTTCAATACCTAGTGCCAAATAATAATAATTAAAAAATAAAAATATACAGGGCCAAAGATGTAGCTCAGTGGTAGACTGACTCTAGATTCAATCTCCAGTACCACAAACACAAACACACACACACATGCACACAAAGACTGAATGAGGATACAAGGGAGTGCTCTTCAGTCCTATTGACAAGAGTATAAAATGACATCCTGGGTAAAGATCTAGAACTATCTTAACATTTTACATGATTAAAACATTGTACAACTGTGGTAAATGTACTTTTCAAAATTTAACTTAGAAAAATACTCAAATACGCACAAGGAGTAATGAAGTATGCTACGTAGTTGCAGAGTATTGTTATCGGTTGATTTAAAATTAGTCCACACCTACCCCATTTTGTTCAGACATCTCACCCTGTGTGAAGTCGGAGCTCCTTCCACATGAGCTTACTCCTGTAGAATCTAACACCTCCACCCCCACCCACCTGCACACTGACCACAATATCCTTGCTCTATGGGACTAAAGCAAAATCGTTTTTCTGAGAATGTAACTTCTGAAAATATTAGTATATGACTTTTTTGTAACTTTCCATTTGTATGAAATGTAATTATCACTATTTTTTTGTAATTATCATTATTATTATTATTATTTGGTACTGGGGATTGAACTCAGGGGCACTCAACCACTGAGCCACATCCCCAGCCCTATTTTGTTTTTTATTTAGAGGCAGGGTCTCACTAAGTTGCAAAGCACCTCACCATTGCTGAGGCCGACTTTGAACTCTTGACCTGCTGGGATTATAGGGGTGCACCACCACACCCAGTTCTACCTTGTAATTATGATTGCTCCTCCTGCCCACCCCGCTCTTTGTGGTTTTAGGCCTTACAAGTGTATTCCTACTCCAATTGGGCTCAAGGGTTGCAGAACTGCTTGGTTCTCTGCACACTCTGCCCTGGCCAGAAATAAAGCTTCTGTCTTTATCTTCAAAGGACACAGTGAATTATTTGGAAATCTGAGGATAGCACTTTAACAGTATTAGAAGCAATCTAAAAGCACAATAGTTAAAAACTAGTTAAAATCAGAGTATATCCATGCTATGGTCTACTTAAGCAAAATTAAAATGAAAGAGGCAGATTTCTATATATTGACACAGAACAAGCTTTAAAATACGGTAAATGAAGAGCAAGTTAAAAATATATATACACCATAATCCCATTATGCTTATATTGGGACTCCAAAAATGAACCCCAAAAAGCAATCTCACAACCAAGGTCTCACTGACCTTACCTCATCTGTCATCCCATTTCTCCTCTTTCTGTGAAGTTCCCCTATGTATCCATGGACCAAAAGAAATACAATTGTCTTCCATCCTTTCCAGTTTCATCAACCAAGGAAAACTAAGCTCCTATCACAGAAGAACTGAAAGTCAAACACCATATCTAGAACTCAGATGAACTTTGTCCCAGGCCATGTCTGTTCTTCAGGTCCACTACCTCCCCTAAGGATCATTTACTGTTCCTCTAAAATTACCTATATCCTATTTCTCTCTCCCCCATGAAGAAGGATACATAAACTTCTAAATCTCCTAGATGACAGAATACTCACTCCCCTATGATTATGCCGTGTACATAATAAACTTGCATGCCTTTTTGTTACTACCCAGAATACTGTCATACTCAATATTTTCTGCTGGTAAGTCTATTTCTCATACCCAAATATCAGCTGGGCACAGTGGCACAAGCTTGTAATCCCAGTGTATTGGGAGGCTGAAGCAGAATGATCACAAGTTCAAAGCCAGCCTTAGCAAGTTAATGAGGCCCTAAGCAATTTAGCAAGACCCGCTCCCTGAAAAAAGGGCTGGGGATGTGGCTCAGTGGTTAAGTGCTGCTGGGTTCAATGCCCAGTACAAAAACAAAAAACAAATATCTCATCTTTAGAAGTAAAAGAGATGGTACCCTTGCCCCAACATTTATTTAAAAATAATAATAACAATAAAGCTAACTACTTCTGTAGGTAGAGAATGTTATATAAAAGAGAATGTTGATACATATTTCTAAAAATGTACTCACAAAAAGATCTAGCCTTGCTATTCAATACAAGCCACATGTGGATACTGAGCACTTTTAATGTGACTAAACAGAATGAAAAACTGAACTTTTAACTTTATTAAATTTTAATTAATTTAAACAAATTTTAAACTGAGGAAGTATTACACTTTAGGTATGAGGTTTCCCCCAAAGCTCATGTGTAAGACAATACAAGAAGGTTCAAAGATAAAATGATGAGATTATGAGAGACTTAACTTAACCAGTGAATTAATCCACTGATATGGATTAACTGGGTGATAACTGTAGGCAGGTATGGTGTGGCTAGAGAAGGTAGGTCACTAGGGCTTGCCTTTAGGGTTTATATTTTATCCCTGGTGAATAGAGCACACTCTGCTTCCTGGCTGTCATGTCCTGAGATACTTTCCTCTACTACCCTTCCACCATGATGTTCTGCCTCAGCTCAGAACAAAGGAATTG